TTTAATGTTCAATAATCTTCTTCCAACAAATCCCTATTCTTTCACAATCCGCATGACTAAAGATTTTAAACCCTTTTGGATTAATTTATGAAAGACGTAACTAAAATTCTAAAATTAATGTTTTACTTTAAGAAGTAACTTTTTAACAACTTAAAAGAAAACCCAAATAAAGGCTCTATGGTAAATTTGGGAGATCAATAATTCATTTCAATAATCCCTATCGCTACTTTCACAATCAAAATGTAATATTTGCATTTCTCCATTGCATTTACTAGACTATTGGAAATGTGTAGTGATATGAATCAAGGCGCGTCACAACCAAGAAAACTCAAAGGTCAAGTTATGGGAAGGATCCGTTGATCGTCGAAGGTGGACTGATAACGCGATCGAGGATGAAGCAAGTGAAAGAAGTGATGGGATTGCTCATCAAGCAAGTCAATGAAGACACAATGTTCGGGGCGCAAAATGGAACAAGTTTCATGTTAGAGTCGAGGGCCGAAAGGACTTGATTCAACATGATAAAGACGGAAGAAAATGAAGCCGAAGATTGTTCCATGCATATATAAATCACACTAAATTACATAGGTCGAGAATTGGAAATAGGATATTAATAGGTGAATTCGGAACTCCAACAAATATGTCTCTTATTTTAGTTAATAAAATTTTAGATAATTAAAATATAAATTTAGAATAACTAAATTACCTCTTTGATTACATTTACATTAGAATTTGATAACGAATTTTACAATTCAAATTAAAGTTTATTCCCTATGGGATGATATTTTTTAATTTATTCCCTATGTGACGATATTTTTTACTCACTAAATTATTATTGTTAACGATCTCATATGTTGGCGAATTTCACACGAACAAACTACATAAAAGTAGTATGAGCCCTAGGAAATTCAAAGCGTGAGCTGCCCCAAGAGATATTATGGAATCCTCCATTTTTATATTTCTTGTGGAAAGTTGGATCAATTCTCACGTCAATTACATATATATCAATCCAGAAATAAAGAAGAAATATTAGAAATTGAAGAAACATACAATAATCACGTCCTATCACTATTATTGAGTATTATAATTTTGAAAATTTATTTTACCTTTGATCAAAACATTTTATGAGAGTGATATCAAAACGCCTTTTTGATGAATAAATTACTTTTTTGAGATTTTATTATTCACTGTTAAAGATTCAAGTATTAGTACCTTTATATTTGATCTAAAAAGTCTAGTCCTTGATCTTTCTTTGAAGTTTGGCTCTCAGGCTCTCCGCTCTCGTCTTAATCTTTCTACTTTTAAGCTCTTGTTTTGAAAGATTTTGTCTTGAATGCTTTGAAGCATGACTTAGTTATTGACATTCTTTGTAAGTCTAATTTGTAATGATAATCTTGATTGTGATTTTTTGATGATAATTATTCAATTTATTACTGGATGCTTTGAAGACTATAATCAATTAAATTCAATTATTAGTAAAAAAAGATTAACTCGTTTGTGATGATCAAAACTTTAAGGTTGAAGTCAACTATATATCAACAATAAGTGGGTGGCATAACTACCATTCAAAATAAAAGATATTAAATTCTAGGAAAATAATCACCTCTACATACATTATGGTCAACTAACAGTTCATGAAGATGATCGACTAACCGCCCACAAGTTGTGACTCAAAGTCGAGTTCATTCAAGTTGAAGTTCCATTAATTTCTTATGTAATATCAATCAAAAACAACAAAAATTACATCTTCAATATTCATCACAAATTTATTAAACTAATGTTAAATTGGACTATATTTCGAAGAATAGCAATTGGAGAAAAAGTGATTCAAAGAAAAACGACATCATTGATTAATGACGCACAAAAAAGCAGCCAACAAAACTTTGCTTGCATATATTCCAACCCTAATAACACCTCTCTCTCTCCCTCTCCCCACATAGGAATGGCGTCATTGGTCTGGACAACACCTACGTCATCTTCGACATCTCGTTTTATCGTTGTTCCCAAACCCAACAGAATTTTGTCGTCGGACGATCTCTTATTCTGGACGCTGTCGTATAATTTTCAACAGAGAGATACCAAACAATCTCAATAACTGGAGTTAAAAGGATAAGTCTGCAATCTTATTTAGTAGACCTAAGACATATTTTCTACTTTCAGGTGGGGACATTGGACGAAGTATCAATTGTATTTGTTATCCAATAAACGTTTCCAGAATCCCAGTGTTAGCCCAACCACGAACACTCCATCAATAATCCTATATGTATCTAAGAAAAGGAAAAAAAATCTATGACCAATATTCTTTATATGTAAATGCACTAAAAAACATATACCTATAGTATGGTGTCAATCACAAATTCCTACGCACCTATCTCAAGTCCCTAAACCCTAATTAAAACTTAGAAAATTCACCATCTCATCTCAATCATATTTTTTGTCTCCTAAATGAAGAATTCTCTTGTCGACGTGACATTGATCTTTAATGAATAGATGATCAAGTCCAAAATTGATCTCCAACGAGTTTCATCAATATATAATTATTTTTAATGTAGATTTTTTATTCAATTTATATGAATCACTTTTCAATTAAATGGTTGTTCATTTCTCTCATAGTCATTATGATTCAAAATATATCATTTCCTAAAGAAGAAATAGTAAAGGATGTCTATGTTGGAAGATAGAAATCAAAACATACATTAGGAAGGTTTATGCATTACAGGACATGTCTATGTGCCCAGAATGGAAAGGAAAATGAAAAAGACTAAAAGTGAGGCCAAATCCATCAATTTATCATAGCGATTAATCCATTAGTCACCTTTTCAAGAGAGTGGATTTATCCAACTAATCCCTAACCCTACAAATTCAATATATCATCTCATAATCTTTCATAACATTTGGTTCCCACAATAAATTTCAATGAATCTTATCGTAATCTCAAAAGTATTTTATTGTTGATGTCTAGTTATTCTCATGTGGCATGTCCCTATGTGCATGCATAGCTAGGAATCACTAGCTTCACCGATGGAGGAAAAAAATAAAACATGAGAATGGAAAGAAAAAAAGAAGTATAAAGCTACTTGTACAGAAATATCTACAAATGTTGAGCTGTCCTCATTTTCTCATTGATGAGCTGGCAATATGCAGACGTATTATGCCACTCAAACAGGGGATGGGAAAGGCCCCTGCCACGGGTCATATGCAGATGATTACATATGAATATGAGGACAACTCCACGTCTGTAAATGTTTATGTAAAAATTTTCTGTACATTTAACAGTTTTCAAAAAGGAAAGACAAGTCGAGTTGTGGCTGTTCGAGTAAATAACGAAACTACTCATCATAGCGACTTATCCATATAAAATGAAGACCCACCGCCCACGTGACCATGTCAAAAGTTGGAATATAAAGCTTGTCCAACCTCAAAGATAGGGAAAAAATAGATTTATTTGACAGCAAATGATTGGGTGCTTGTTGTTTTTATTTTTCAAACACTCCAATCATGTGTTGACAAGTTTACACCCTATTTTTGAACCTATTTTTTAGCCTGTTTGTGTAGCATAATTCGACAAAAGTTACCTACCCCAGTTATAGGACAAAATGGATTTTAGTGTTCAATAATTTCCTTCCAACAAATCCCTATCCCCACCGGCATTGTGGATTTCATTTTCAGAATCAGTGGCTAAAGATTTTAAATTTTCCACTTTTCACATTTTGAAAGCAGTAGGCAATGAAACTTTCATGTTCATGGAAACCACATAAACGTAGTATATGAACCTTAGGAAATTCAAAGCATGAGCTGCCCCGAGAGGCATCGTGGAATCCTCCATGTTCTATATTTCTTGTGGAAAGTTTGCTCAATTATCACGTCGATTACATATATATCATTGCGTAAATAAATAAGAAATATTAGAAAGGAAAAAACATATAATAGTCACATCCTATCACTATGATTGTGTATTCCAAGTGATTTCAAAACGAGAGGGGGAAAAAATAGGGAAAGGAGTCGACCTTCAATAAAGAAAAGAAAAGGCAAAATTAAGTCTTTATAGTGACTATTAATTCAAAAAAAATAATAATAATAAATAAATAAAATGAAGAAGAAGAAGAAGATGATGATGATTAGTGTTTGTTTGGTCTTCTTTTTATCAGCCAAAATTATAAGTTCGTAGAAATGAATGGTAAAAAAATAAATAATACTTGTAAATCCAACTATCGATGTAGTTAAATTTGACGTTAGAAAGTAACTTTTTAGTTGCCAAAAAGAAAATTCAAACAAGCTTAGAGTGAATTGAGATCAATAATTTGTTTCAATGGAATGAGCTATTTGTACAATGAATTTGTACAACATGCTCGACAATGGTGTAGGTGTCAAAAAAATGTTGATGGAAAAGATAAAGTATTTTTCAAACTGTCCAATGATAATATGTCACATAACATATTGTCAAATTTGTTGTAAAAATCATTATACAATAAGCATGGTTCTTGTTTCAATAATCCCTATCCTTACATCAAAAGCAAAATTGATGTGTAGCAATAATATCAAGATTTTTATTTAATTTAATACGATTTTGCTAGATGTACATAATGGTGTACCACCTCCTCACATGGGTGGGGGGCCCACTCGAATATTTTAATCGAATGAATCCCTCCTTGTGAGGGAATGTACACCTTTAGGTACAAAAATTATGTACCACTAGCTTTATTCATTTTAATAATATATTGAATTACTTTAACGAAGACCAAGGACTCACATTATTCCAAAGGAGGCTGTCTAATTTGCTGCCAAAAAAAGTAGGAAACACATCGGACCCATAGAAAATAATTTATACATGCATGGATGCCAACGCAAAAGGCATCGTATTTCGTAACGTATTCTATCCGATAAATAAATAATCAAAGACAACACAGCTCCCTAGCTCTCTCCTATATATACTAGATCAAAGACAACACAATTCCTCACTCTTCTGTAAACTCAATCAGCAAAAATACCAGCAGCACCCAAAAATGTCTTCCACTGCCGATACCATCACCCCCATATGGAGTTACGACGTTTTCTTGAGTTTCAGAGGCGAAGATACCCGTAAAGGTTTTGTCGACCACCTCTACACAACCTTACACGAAAAGGGTATCGACACTTTCAAAGACGATATTGAACTCAAGAGAGGAAGTTCCATTTCCCCACTACTCCAAAATGCCATTGAAAGATCCAAAGTTGCCCTCGTTATCTTCTCAGAAAACTATGCCGATTCCACTTGGTGCTTAGAAGAGATTGCTAAAATCGTCGAATGTAATCAGAAATTTGGCCAAAAGATTTATCCCGTATTCTATAATGTGGAACCTTCTGATGTTAGGAAGCAAAAAGGGAGTTACAAAGATGCTTTTGATGAACATGCAAAAGATCCTAAGAATAAATTGAAGATTGTTTCATCAATTTACTATTCAAAAATGTATTTTTACATAAAAATATCTTCCAAACACTCTCTTAATTTTTCCAACTTATACTTTTCTTTTTATGACATGGACTGAATATTAAAACTTGGAGTTCCATCTTAAAATATCAACCTTATTTAGAGAAGTCTTTCAAGCCCTCATGTTGGTCTATATTTCAGCATTTAATTAATGCAAGATTTATCCTTTAACATGCCAACGCAAGATGGTGACTCATTTAAACAGATCAATCTTGACAATCATGTTCTTGTTTTGAGTCTTAATCGGATTGAATTGCTTGTTAGAGTTTAATGTGCTCTTATACTATATTAAAACTTGGGTTCCTATTGAGAATTATAAACCATAATTCAATTTCTCCAAGAGCAATTATTTCGAAAAAAGAAAAAATAAACACTCAAGAACACGTAGACTACATCCTCTCTCGCCACTACACTAATTACTATAATGAAAAATTGTTTACAAGGTCTTCTCTAACCTCAATAGTTTCGACGTCTTAAAAGGTCTAACCTTATTAAGAAGAATAGTCTAAACCTTTATATATTGGTATATATTTCGGTATTTAAACGATGTGGAATTTATTCCTTAACACACAAAATACAATCCAGCGTTCATTTGACTTGTAGGAAAACTAGCTAAAATTTTGGATCAAGCTTCAATTTCTTCCTCCATGATATGTGGGCAAAAGTAGAGACCTGCACTAGGCACTAAAAGCAGATTCAACACTATATTGTATAAAACACAGAAGTTTATGTTATAGTTGTTTATGTATGTATGTGATATGTAATGAAAGGGAATTAGACTCTCATTGTCCAGCTTATCCAGCTTTATTTCGTTGCTAGTGTATAAACTTGATTAGGATCTGTGATGGATTTGGGATTCTAGGATTTTGTCCAGTAGTATATTTTGGTAATGTATAATACTTAACATATTCATATAGTTGGTATTGTAAATGTGTAATATATGCAAGTGAAGAAGGATACTAAATCGGTTAATTCATAAGAATTAACAACATACACTCTTTTCATTATGTTGTGATAACATGCATTTATATGCTATAACTCAGGACCACAAACAGGCAAGCTGATTCAAATTTAACCGTAAGAAATAATTTTTGTGGGATATTAGTGCTCAAACATTGGTAACATATAAATATCGAAATATTATGAGACACAAAACTTACCAATCTTCCCTGTGTCTTCTGTAATTTTTCTCTTCCTTCTCCTTCTTCATGATCTTCAGGCACGAGTCAAAAGGCATCAGAAAAATTGCTCTAGATATTTTGAACAATTTGAGCCATACGGTCTCTCGAGTTAAAGAAAGCCTGATTGGAGTAGAGTCGCATGTTGAGCAGGTGATGTCCCTGTTGAATCTCGAGTCTACTAAAGATGTTCGCATGATAGGTATATGGGGTATGGGGGGCATTGGAAAAACAACTATCGCCAGGGCTGTTTTCGATCAAATATTTAGCACATTTGAAGGCAGTAGCTATCTTGACAATGTAAGAGAAGTTTCCAAAACTTTAGGACTGAATTCCTTAGAAGAAAAATTACTCTCCGACACTCTGATGGAAAAAAGCTCAAATCTCCACAGTAACACTTCTATGCTATTGACAAGGTTACGTCACAAAAGGGTACTCGTTGTTCTTGATGATGTCAATGAACTCGAGCATTTAGACCGATTAGCTGGAGGGCATGATTGGTTTGGTGCCGGAAGTAGAATCATCATAACAACAAGAGACAGGCAGTTACTTTCTGCACGTGAAGTTGATGAAGTATATGAGGTCAGTGTCTTGGGAACTGATGTAGCATTGAAGCTGTTTAGCAAATTTGCCTTTAAGGAAGGTTTTCCCAAAGAAAAATTTGAAAAGCTTGCACGTGCGGCAGTTAGATATGCTCGAGGTCTTCCTTTAGCTCTTAAGGTGTTGGGCTCTTTTTTACATGGTCGAGGTATTGATGAATGGGAAAATGCATTGGACAGATTGGAAGAAATTCCGGAAGATGGTATCTTGGAGAAACTTAAAGTGAGTTTTGATGCACTAAATGACATGGAGAAGAAGATATTCCTAGATATTGCTTGTTTCTTTAAGGGGAAGAAGAAAGAATATGTGATGAGAAAACTTGACAGCTTCGGTCTACGAGCTAAGATTGGAGTAAGTGATCTGATTCAAAAATCTCTTTTAATTGTAACCACTGATAACAGGCTTCAAATGCACGACTTATTACAAGAGATGGGTTGGTACATTGTGCGCCGTCCACATCCTAACGAGCCTGGGAAACACAGTAGGTTGTGGTTACCTAAGGATATTTGTGATGTACTAACAAAAAATGCGGTAAGAAATGAACTTGTACTCATTTGATATCGAAGAAGCTTTTACTAAGTCTACCTAAGGTTTTATGCAAGTGATATAACGTTGAAACTTACCTACCAACCACAATATTTGTCTAATATATGTAGGGCACAGAAGAAATTGAGGGCATATATCTGGACTTTGCAGAATTAGAGAGCTTTAAAATTAGCCCGAAAGCCTTTGAAAATATGAAAAATCTGAGGCTACTCAAAATCTACAATGCAGACATTAAGCAAATGCAAGCTTCTCTACCAAGTGACTTGCATTGGCTTGATTTGCATAAGTATCAAACGCGGACTTTGCCTCAGAATTTTCAAGGAGAAAAGCTCGTTGGACTGAAACTGTCCCATAGCCACATTGAACACCTTGGAGGACTAGAAAAGGCACAATTGGTATGAGATGAATTTTTCTTTCTAATCATAGTTTCAACTTTTACATTACCAATGCTTCATTTTAATAGGAAGAGGTAACATAATCTTCTCAATTGTGCAGAATAAATTGAAGTTCATCAATCTCAGTTACTCTAAAAAATTAGTGAAAACTCCAGATTTCAGCAAAATTCCAAATCTTGAAAGATTAAATCTCAGTAATTGCAAGAGCTTGGAAGAGATTCACCCATCTCTTGGGAATCTTAAAAAGCTTGTATACTTAAATTTGGCACACTGCATTAAACTAAAGACCCTACCACCTTCTATCCATTTAGAACTTCTGAAAACACTTGTTCTTTGGGAATGTGTGAAACTAGAAAAATTTCCAGAAGTGACTGGGGAAATGGAATGCTTGTCGGAGCTTCATTTGGAGGGGACTGCAATAAAAGAACTACACCATTCAATCATCAAAATTACAGGACTCGTTTTGATAAATCTCGGCAAGTGCAAGAACCTAAAAAGTCTTCCAGATAGCATTTGTGAGTTGAAATGCTTGCATACTCTCAATCTCTCTGATTGCTCAAAGCTTGAAAAATTGCCAGAAAACCTTGGACAAATTCAATCCTTGGAAGAACTACTGGTCGATGGAACTGCTATTGCCCAACCACCGCAGTCCATTGCATGTTTGACGAACCTGAATGTCCTATCATTCAGTCGATGCAAGCGGCCAAAATCTCGGAGTTCTCTTTTTCCGGCTGATTTGGGGTCCTCGGTCTCTTTATCTGGTGTGTTACCTTTGCAGAAACTACGACTCACTGGCAGCGACCAGACAAAAGATACTTTGCCTGCACCTAGACCATCTTTATCAGGTTTATGTTCCTTAAAAAAATTGTATCTCAGTTCCTGCGATCTACTTGAGGAACTGTCAGCTGATCTTTGCAGCTTGTCCTCTTTGGAAGAGTTGGATCTGAGCGGAAATAATTTCGTAGAGTTTCGTGCAAGAATTTCTGAACTTCCTCGACTCAAAATCCTAAAGCTAGAAAGTTGCACAAGACTTGAATCACTGCCGGATCTTCCAGAAAGTATAGCTGTACTATATGCAGATGAGTGCCATTTATTACAAAGCTTGGCTGATCTCTCTAAGAAGCATGCCTTCTTGTGGAAGGTCTCATTTCTCAATTGCTTCAAACTGGTTGAAAACGAGGAGAACCATAATGCTGCTGATAAGTTGCTTCACTCTCTACTTGAGGTTGGTCTCCAAATTCTCTCCTTTCCAGTAGACGTATAAGAGTATTTCCTCTTACCACACAGATTACTTTTTCTAGTTATCTATACTAAATCAATGCTGATTCCATGTTCACTCTTAAAGTAAACAAATGATTTTAATACATTATTACCAAAATTGGATATGTGTTTGGTGGATAGGTACTCTGCAGTGCTCAGGGGGAAGTTTCCATCTTCTTTGTTAAAATGAAACGATAAAGATCCTCAGTTACTTTATATGGTTGTGAGATAGTACGTTTAAACAAAAATCTGAAGAAAAATTAAACTTACAAAAAGTGAACCTGCAACAATAGATAGAGACGTAAGGCTTACAAGAAATATATTGAACAGTATAATCTATCTTCTGTATGAGGTGATGACTTCTTTAAATTTTGATAACAAGTTGATGACAAATTCAGGGAATGCATGTGTAGATTTTCCAATCCACTGCACGAATTATTTAAAAACCTTTATATCAATAATGTATTAAGACTTGTAAAAAAGTAGTTAAAAAATTCTGAAAGTGTTAATTTCACTTGATTCTTGTTACAGGGACAACCTATTGTCAATGGTCGATTTAGTATACTCATTCCTGGAAGTGTGGTTCCAGAGTGGTTCAGTTACCAAAAGATGGGATGTTCAGTAACTATCCCTCTAACTCCAGATTGGCATGAGAAAGTCATTGGGATTGCAGTTTCTATCGTTTTTGAGCGTCTGGTGTCAAAATCAAAAATAGGGGTCACATTCAAATTTATAAGCCGGGATCATGAAGAGTTCACTGCTAATATCACCCCAGCTGCCGCTAAGTTGGAAGAGAACTATGAATCTGCTCATGTGTGGATAGGCTACATATCATTCCATCTTTTCCAGCTTCTATTTCCAAAATTTCAGTCAGATGATTGGGCTAAAATAGAGGGATGTCTGACAATTAGTGCAATGGATGCAGCGTGGATTAAGCCAAAAGGATGTGGGATTCGCTTGGTGTACAAAGAAGACGTGAAGGAGGCATTGGAGCAGTACATGAACGCTCAGCCTGGCGTCGACCAAGAATTGAACAAATCAAAAGAGGCAGAAGAGAGTATTTCTATACTGACTTTTGGTGTCAATCAATTGAACTGGATTGTAGAACCTGTCGAGGAAGAGGGCACACAAATTCAAAGTTTGAGATCTTCCACTACCTTCAAGGTACAGAAGACCCTATCATTTGATTACTAGTTACCTGAAGGTGGCTCTTTCAAAGTGTGGCATAATTGTTTGCATTAAGTTTGTTGTTTTCATCGCACTTTAGGGGCTGCAGAATGTACCCTTGCACTGTGGAATCTGCTGGTAGTTGTCCTCTTCTTTGTCTATGTTTGTTTGTCCATTTTTCTCCCAACAAAGAATAAACTTAGTTTTTCTGTTGTCTTCACTGATGCTGTATTGTGTGTGATGTCTCTTAGTATTGTAAGACCAAGATCCTTTTGTTTGTCACAAGCATAAACATAGTTTTTCTGTTGTCTTCATTGATGATGTACTAAGTGTTGTGTCTCTTAGCATTGCAAGACCAAAATCCTTTTAGGATATTCGGTCTCTCTTTCTATGTTATTATATTTATCCTTTTGTATAATAAATGTTATTATGGTGAGGGTTGTGTATGTTATTGAAATCATTGTGGTTTCTATAGTTTTCTTATCCTTAGTATTTTAGTTAAAAGAACGGTAAAATTTTGATATGCATTCAGAAAATTTGTTATTACTATTTCATCCACGAAGCGCTAACAAATTTTAAATTAACGTGTTTTAATCTTTCCAATACAGCAATATTAATGTGGTGAAGAAATATTGATGCTATCGTCTTAGAATATCCCCAAAAAATTATATTTTTAAAGAGCATATTCTATTATTTGAAGAGTGTCAATAAATTTAAAAAGTAAAAATTTTGAAATACTCCAGCAAATTCTTTATATTTAACACTTAATTTTACTATTCTCAAAAAATATTTATTATTTTTCTCTATATTTTATTTTAACTAGTTTTTCTTTAAATTATTTTATTATTTTTCTACATTAAAAATTGAAACAGTTTGAATTCATTTAATTATAAATGGTGAGTTTGGAGAGGCAAATCAACTCTTTAAATTAAAATATCAATTTAAAGAGTCTCTTTAAGTATAATTTTAAAGATCGACTCTTTAAAAAAAAAAAAGTATCTCTTATTTAAAGAGTATTTTGAAGATGGTCTTGGGTCATTTGGGATTTTCAATGAATGAATTCTCAAGTCATTCGACATATTTTAGTGAAAGAAAGTAAGCCACAAACTCTTTGTAGTCAAACATGTGATGCATGTTTGTTTCTTAAGGAGTTTGAAAACAAATTCTCTACCAATTGAGAAATGAGAACAGCGTCCAATTGTCAAATCCACTTTTTGTTGTAGTCAAACATGTGATGCACAAAAGTTCCTAGAATAGAAAGAAAATCATCAATTAACAATAGAAACGAGAAAAATACAGCCATAGAAAATTTTAGATGAAAGAATGTCATTATTAAAAAAATGTTAAACCCTAACCTTAAGGATCCCCCCCACTCCTACTCTGGAGTATCGTGAGGGAGGTAAATCGCAGGTTATGCCTCCAAGGGTACAGGGTGGAAGGCTGCTTGTACACTTGCACTTATCCAAGAGTCAAGTCCATATTTCAAGATTCGAACCCTTGACGCAGCAGCCTCAAGCAAAGCTGGATTTCTCCACCCTCCCCTTTTACCACTTGAAGATGTGCCTTGGGGGCGAAAGAATGTCATTATTAGATTTGGCGAAATGTGGCTTTTGTAACTTGCAACTTGAAGTGATTTTTTTGGCAAAAAATGTTAGCTGTGGAGCATAATTATTTAAAAAATGTTAGTTCTAGGGGCGGGGCGGGACGGTGGGGGCCCTCAAAGTTGGGGTTCAATCTTTGTGGAGCATAATTATTGTTACTACGAGGAGTCGTACGTCACTGAGAATATTTATGAATTTCATACTTGTAATTTTAGTTTTGCTCCAATTTTTCTTTGAGTCGTCATTAAAGTTATATATCATTATTAAAAGAGAAAGAGATCTTAGAGAAAATAAGTGTTCTAAACTTGTTTCATTTTTGGTAATTACTACAATAGCGAAAGAAGACATAATCTCACGATAAAGTGAACCTCTATAAAATGACAAGTTCTTATGTGTCTATTTTCTTTTTGCCATTTTATTGCTCTGTGTGGTATAAAATTAGAGCCTCTAATTCTCAACAGAAAAGTCTCGTGCAAAATACAGTCAGTTCCTTCCAATTTCACATGGGAGGTTAATTTGAATTGCAACAAATTCCATGTTGGCAAAATATGGAATTGTGTGACCAATGAAATATTCATAAGCCATATGTGATAAGTTGAGATCTGCTATCCAATTTACAGTACATCCTATTAATTATTGACCCAACATTTTTAATTTAACATATCATGGATTTTAATTTTTCATTTTAACAGTTATTTAACATTGCTATATACTTTCTCTCTTCCACAAAATGATGTATCAATAATTAATTGGATGGACAACAAATTATACAACAAAAATTGGACTATAGATTTCAACTCCATATGTGACACCTTTGGAGGCGTATTTATAGGCAGTCAAGTGATGCCCTCGAGCCCCGACACTTTCGAGAGCCTCAAGAAACATGCTCCATCATTTCAAAAATCTTGGTAAATGGATGGCATAACTATGATTCAGAACGTGAGATTCTAGGTCCAATGTAAAAGATATTGAATTCTACGGAAATAATCGCTCCTGCATACGTTAAAGTTGACCAACAATTCATGAGGACGATCGATTTAATGTCCATAGGTTTTTACTCAAAGTCGATTTTATTCAAGTTGAAGCTCCATTTATTTCTTATGTAATATCAATATAAAACAACAAAAATTACATCTTCAGTATTCATCACAAATCAATTAAACTGACGTGAAATTGGACTATATTTAGAAGAGCTTATTATTAGCAACTGAAGAAAACTATATTCAAAGCTAAACGACATCGTTTCCGTTATTCCTCGAGAAGTGATATTCACGGAAGAAACGAAATCCTTTGTGACTGAGACGAGAAACACATAAAAAGGCAGCCAACGAAACTTCACTGGCATATATTCCTACCCTAATAACACCTCTCTCTTTCTCTCTCCCCCTCCTCCTCCTCCTCTCTCCCCGTCTCCAACACACAAATTCACACAGATACATATATATCGATATATATACGTACATATAGGAATGGCGTCTTTGGTCTGGACAATGCCTACGTCTTCTTCAGCTTTTTCTCTGTTTTCTCGCTGTTCTCCGACCCAACGGAACTTCGTTGCCGGACGATCTCTTGCTCCGAACGCCGTCGTATTATTTTCAACTTTTATGTGGTTGTTTCCTGGAGAAAGTGGTTTTCAAGTTTATTGATAGGCCTATGTTATTTATCTGTAATTTGATTTGAGTGAAAATGAGTTTAAAAAAAAAAAAAAAGGTAGTATGTTGTTTATCAATTTAATTTATCTCGAAAGGTTTTTTTCCCTAATTTTGAAAGCCAAAGAAGTTTCCATTTCAGTTTCATTTCCTTTATGGAAAATGTTATTTATTGCATATTATATATATATATATATATATATATATATATATGCTGCATTTGGATTATGGGAAGTTTTTTTAAATTGGCTCACATGAGAATTATCTTCACTTTTCGATGTTTGTAATAGGGATGTGAGCTGACAGAGCCAGTAAATGGGAATCCTTGTGTTCCCATTATCAGTGAACAAACTCTTCCAAAGTTCCTGCAATCGAAGCGACTGGAGAATGCGATAGCTAGAAATGGTAATACCAGGCTTAAAATTTTTTCTGGCCTGGCAAATTCTGCACTTTCTCAGGTGAATGCCTTATCTGATAAAAATCAACTAAACAGAATTGAATGGATTATGAATTTTGGTGTGAATTTGTTGACTCAATATTTTTGTTTACACTATCCAAGCTCCTAGGTATGGATTAAAGTGAGACATTTCATGTGTTCTAACCCAGCTGAAATCAAAAAAAAAATTTCTAAAAGTACTCTCAAAAGGTTTTCATGCGTAATGTATGCCCCCTGTAATTTAATAGGTTGCTACTCCACAGTCTTAATCCACCATGTTGTTGTTAACACAATGTCTCGATAAATTAAAGTGTACTTAACTGTATGGGGATAAATAATTAATTTTTCTAATCATAAGGGGTATATTAGGTCTGATAATAAGCACCCGTGAGTAATTGAGCGTTGAAAATCACTGCAAATTGTGGCAGCAGCAAAAGAAACTGTTAGTAATTTAAAAAAATTACGGTACAAGACTAATAAAAGTTCCTATGAAGGAAGAATAGAGAAAGGGGAGAGGAACAGAGCCTTGGTAAACAGGGAAAACTGGAAATTGCAAGATCAGTTTGAATTTAGAATGGATTCACAAGGAAAATTTTTTTGAGTGGGGTTAGTTTTTGGTTTTCAATTTGAATTTCTAGGAAGTGCAATGAATCAGGTGGATCTCACAGTTTTCCAGCACTGGTTGTCTCCCTCTGGTGCCATTTCAATCAATTTAACTCACAAAAAGATTTTTTTCTACTGTTATGCATTAAAAACCTTAGTTTTTGTGATTAGTGTGAAGCCATTGGTAAATTGGTCAAAAGGTAAATGGGCAGTTTAAATACCTGAAAGTGGCCAGGGATATAATTTTATTTTACCCATAAACAAATGAGAAATATATTAGAATAGAAAACTTGATGAGACAATATTTAACAAGTATGGAGATTGGTGGAAAGTGCTCCTTTACTCTTAGACTGTCATACTTCTACCTCTATATTGATTTGATATGGTTGCTTTCCATCACTCAGGAAATTGCTTGGTATATGGGCCTTGACCTGGGAAAAATTCACATCAAGCGGTTTGCTGATGGAGAAATATATGTTCAATTACAAGAGAGTGTTCGAGGCTGCGATGTGTACCTTGTCCAGCCCACATGCCCTCCAGCTAATGAAAATCTTATGGAGCTTTTAGTTATGATAGATGCTTGCCGAAGAGCGTCTGCCAAGAATATCACTGCAGTGATACCATACTTTGGATATGCTAGAGCTGACAGAAAGGTGATTTTAGTATAACAAATATTAAGTTAACTTAAAAATCATTTATGTTTAAGGATTTTCCATGAACACTCATGGTTAAATTCCTACATCTCTCTTGATATGTTTACTTAATGTTTTGGGAGGCTACTTATGTGTATATCATGTTCTGTACACATATTCATGTCCAATTTCCTTCCTCGGTTTGATCTATATCAACATTGGAAAGAGTGATATATATTTTTAAAATTATAAAACTTGAAACTAAATTATTTATGACATTATTTTAATGTGAATTGTAGCTGGTGCCAATTATCTTTGCCAGGATTCCCAGAAATCAAATGTGGATATTTTAGGTAGCTGATGATTTTTGTTTTGTTTTTGCATTACTAGACCCAAGGACGTGAATCTATTGCTGCCAAATTAGTGGCGAATCTTATCACAGAAGCAGGTGCAGATCGTGTTCTTGCTTGTGACCTTCACTCTGGACAATCAATGGGTTACTTTGATATTCCAGT